AATTCTTCTGCTAGTTGGGGTTTAGTCCAAATCTGCATCCTTTCCTTCAAGGCTCAGGGGTCCAAGATTATCTTCTGTGTCTATGTTAATTGGTTTCCCTTTTCTTTGTTGAAGAGGGTCTGTGCAATCCTTCTGCCTAGTCTGCCATCTTGCCCCGCCTCCTCATTTCTAATAATATTATTCTTAACCATTCTTTAAGAAGGTTTAAATTTATCCAAGACATTTTAATTTTCCTCACTAATTTCCATTATTAGCATTGCCTTCTTAAAGTTCTACCTCAAATAAAGGCAAGCCAGATATGGGCTACATTTTCTTAAATGATGTTAGTTCTTGCTCAATGATGTGAGTTCTTGCTCTAAAATCTTATGACACATAGAAGAAGAATTATAATATCAGAATTATTTAAGATTTGGGAAAAATCTGTCAAATTTGCTCAATGAGATGGTATCTTAATAGGTGGGAGTAATACCACTGTTTTCATTGACAGTGGTTTTCCTTATGCTAAGTTGTTTGTATACATACTAAAAAATATATCTAGAGCTTTTATTCATGTTGTTACCAGGTTATGTATGACTTAAACTATTTTTTATACTATTTTTTGTAGAAGGTGTCATGATTTTGATGTTTATGTGTTCTGGGATTAAAAAGAAAAATATATTTTCAAATTTCCTTATGGTTTAAGCCTGAAATATTTTTTATCCCCTTGAATTAGAAACTTTTTTGTTTCTCTTGCTCCAGAGAAACAAATATTCTCTTTTCTTTTCTTTCTTGTGTAGTGCCTATGATCAGAAGCCACAAGTGGGAATGAGGCCCTCCAATCCCCCAACACCATCCAGCACTCCAGTGTCCCCACTGCATCATGCATCTCCAAATTCAACTCACACTCCGAAACCTGACCGGGCCTTCCCAGCTCACCTTCCTCCATCACAATCCATACAAGACAGCAGCTACCCCATGGACCACAGGTAAACTGCAGATACTGTTTTTCAAAATTGCTTTTAGAACTCTTGGAAGAAATTCCTTTGACCACTTTTGAAGACCTCATAGTAGATTTAAGGTGAATATACTAATTTTGCACATCTGTGCAAAAATATTTTTAGAAAGAGCTTGCTCTATCTATACGTATAAATAATTTGTGGAGAAGGTCATTTATAAACATTCCTTTTATAAACATTTAAATTGGTTGCTAAAATGGAAAATTAATCTATATACTGACATTTGAACATTTCCCTTTCACTTTGCTTGAATTAAATTGCTTCATTTAAACTTTACATCAGATCATCCTATTTTTATGAGCATATGTGTGTACTTGTTCTGTAAAGTTAAGAGACTAATTTTAGTAGGTGGCTTATGGAATTAGGTTCTTTACTTTAGATTGAATGGTTTAGCTATGTATAGTGTTTCAGAATACAACTCATTTGATTAAAAATATTTGCCATCTTTTGTAAGTGATGAATATTAAATGCCAACAGATGCATGAGCTGGACACTGAGAGCATAAAATGTTGAATCTCAGTTAGTGTCACTTAAATGATCAAGGCAAGAACTAGAGTGTACTATTAAGGAGGATGCTTACATTGGAAATTCTTGATTTCTAGAGACAAATTCATATTTAAATAAAATATTAAAGGACGTTTAGAGGTCCTTAGACACTACCTTTGTATACCACTAACACGTAGGTTGATCGTGTACAGCCTCCCTCCTTTCCTCTTTTACATAATTATATATAAACAGCAGTGTGCTGGTAAATGCTTAACAACAGGCTCTCTGATTTGTAGCATTTTCCAAGTCTATGATATAAAAGCTGCTCCAGTGGCCAGTTACAAGCCATCAATGTGACATCATTGTTGTTTTGCCTTCGAGTCGGCCCCGACTCATAGCGACCCCTCCTTGGGTTTCCGAGGTAGTATCACTATGAAAGTAGGATTGCCCAACCTTCCTTCTGAGGAGTGGCTGGTGGGTTTGAACCACCAGCCTTCTGGTGAGCAGTCAAGTGCCTTAGGCACTATGCTACCAGAGCTCCTAATGTGATATCAGTCAATGTGGAATTGGAAAGAGATGTGCAATACCACACCACTATTTAGTATTTCCACTGTAAAAATATAATTGTTGTAAATGACCTCAAGAGCATAGTTATAGTGAAATGTAGTAAATTACTAGAAAGTGATACATTTTGCATTTTTTACTGAATTTGTTTTTAATGTAATTTGTAATTGTGAATTTATGTATTTTAATTTTTTGTAATGGCTGTGTTAACAACTGAGTCACAAAATTCCTGAAAATTTAACAATCTGTTCTCATAAGCCAGTGCAAACTGGCTCTGACACACCATTGTAAAAATAACTCAGTCACAGGAATCCTTTAGATCAGCATAGGAAAGCAGAAGATACGCCCCTGGCACCTTTCTGAAAATTATGGAACACTCAAATCTGGCTTTTGTACATTATTTGATGGAACTTAATCTCAAAGTCAGTAACTTTTTGTGGTGTGAAAGGATAAGATAGAAGCATTCTTTCTAGTGTGAAACTAAACCATATCTTCCCTACCTTTGTTTCCATCGTTAACTCCTCTTGTGCTTTTATTATTCGGTGCTCACTGTTCCCTTTCCCTTCTCACCCTGTAGACTTGAGACCTTTTCAGAGTGCAATGCTATGTGCATCTGTGTAAACAATTTTGTAAATACAGATGAAAGAATTCTTACTGCAGGGTGGGCCACCAAACAAAAGCACATTGTGCAGGACTAGAAGGGAAAAAAAGGGTATAAACAAAAGGAAAATTTTCTTTTGCCCACTTCTAGTGACTTCCAAGAAGAGTTCTTGATAACTGAGTCTTTCACACTTCAAAGAAGTGCCAGAATTGTAGATTGCGTAATTTGCTTTCTGCGTGGTTATTTCTCAGGGAGGGTGCCTGCCCAACAAGCAGTGTGTCTGTTTTTAGATGACCTAACTTGAGATGCTTTAGCCAAATCCATTTTAATTTCTCTACCTGAAGTTGAATATTTGAGACTGAGAACAGCCGGCCCGGAACTACAAGAGGGAAGCTCGGGGTCTTTTCCCACTGCCCCCCACCGAGTTTTGAGGACAGTACCAGCTGGCCAATCCCAGGAAAATCTCTGCAGCCTTATGTTTCTGAGGAGGATTTCTTGGAGGGCCCTGGCCAACCAACGACAATTCCTCAGTTATAAATGGCAACTTTGCTTCGGGAACAGATCCTTTCACCTCCAGCTCAGGCACCCCACCTCACTCTGGGAATGTTTTGTGGCCAACTGGCCTGCACCCTGCTTCCTTTCCTCAGGCTCGCTCTGTTCCTCTAGTCAGCCCTTTGGCACTCTTTCCCGAACCCACTGTGCAGGAATCCTGTTTCCATCACTTAGGCCCTTAAATTCTCATCGACTCTCAATGCTGTTATCTCTCTTGCAGAAGCTTTATGAATCATTTTCTCTTTACCAGAGGTCGGTGATTCGTGAGAGTTGCGTCAAAAACATACTGCTTCCTGTGAAGCATGTGTCTTTGGTATATAAATGGTCCTCAGCAAGTACCAATTGGAATCAGGTCGAGTCGTAAAAACAAATGGCTTGATTCCTTACAAAGCTTTCAGTACAAGTATTATTAACTTCCTTTTAAGGCTTCGCAAGTGAGCCGGTTTCTTATTTTAACTTCAAGTTACAATTTTCTGATTCACTCCTTGACAGTTCTTAATGATAATTTCTGTTTCTTTTTTTGGCTAATGAAATAAGCAAGAGAAGGGAAATGAATGCAGTGCCAGTCAGCCTAACTGTTTTGCACTATCCGAATTTCTAAGTTTATTTTCTGCAGGTGTAGGTGGAATTGCTTTACATGGCAGCCAGTGAGTCTAGAGTTAAATCACAGGATGGAGCATTCTTAGAAATCCTGAAAGAATTGCTTTGCCATTCTTTAGCTTTTACCTTATTTCCATTTAACATTACTAAAATTAATACTTCCGTAGTGATACTGCCTCGGAAACCCAAGGAGGGGTCGCTATGAGTCGGGGCCGACTCGATGGCAAACAACAACAACAACAACAAAATTAATTGCTAACTTTCCAAACTGAAGTCTAAGCCATGATTTTAGTGAGTGGAAGGTGGTGGTTCGAAGGCCTACTTTTGCTCGTAGAAATGTTGAATTGATCATTGTTAGGTACTCCTGGGGCATTTTTATAGAACTTTTAAATTTTTAATTAATCCACATCTTTGTGGTGGGTCAATGATATTATGGATGAGAAGCACAGAACAGAACGCTTATGTGAGTAGCCAATTGTTAAACGGTATAACCAAGGTTGAAGCATGGAGACTCATTCTCAGCCTTCTGCCAAGGTCTCGGAACTTCCTCATAACCTAACAATATGACTTGCCCCAAATCTATGCATGTGTAAATATTTTTTCATCTTCGGAGATCTGTTGTATAAAATTAATTTTATCAACTTGATATTTCGTTTGATGTTGTCAGAAGTGAGTATGTTCCATTGCTGTTTAATAATCAAGAAGTGATCTTTTAAAGCCACCTTCTAATTCAGACACCATAATATCCAGTGTTTTTTTCTCACTGGAAGGTAATGCTAATTAGGACATTGTTAAGGAACTAGAATCCTGTCCATTTCAGAAGAGAGTTAAGGATTCCTCTCTTGCTTCCTCGGTAACTGATGTAATGGAAAGGAAACCAGTAAGTAGGTGTCTGTTTGGTTTTCTCTTTTTTTGTTGCTTAGTTTGGTTTAAGAGAATTAAAAGATAGATCAAATTTGAGACCATTCTGTCTTCCCTGATTATTATTATATATAATTATTTGAGACCCTTTAATCATGGATATTATATGAATAATCCAATTTATTTAGAACTGGGCATTTTAGCTGTTAGGGTGTGTATTTCCTCAAAATAGAGCATCATACCTCTACTCAAGGCACAGCTTTAACTTCCTGTAATGTACTGAAGAGGTGCTGCAAGGGATTGATTAGAAGGGAAACACAACTCATGTTATGATTAAAAAGCATAGTTCTACTGAACTGGGAAAAGAACTCTAGTCTTTGTTAAGGATTTACTCTGTGGGTCAGCTGGTGTCATATTCATTAATTAAGCAGTTAAAAATCATTGCAATATTTTAAGTAATAGTCCTTGTTACCATTTTATCTGAAACATGTTCTCTCATTCCCCAGATTTCGCCGCCAGCTTTCTGAACCCTGTAATTCCTTTCCTCCTTTGCCGACCATGCCAAGGGAAGGACGTCCTATGTACCAACGTCAGATGTCTGAGCCAAACATCCCCTTCCCACCTCAAGGCTTTAAGCAGGAGTACCATGACCCAGTGTATGAACACAACACCATGGTTGGTGGTGCGGCCAGCCAAAGCTTCCCCCCTCCTCTGATGATTAAACAGGAACCCAGAGATTTTGCGTATGATTCAGGTAGGTTTATGCTTTGATGGAATTACATTTAAATCATCTTTTCACCTCCCTAATTACTTTGGCTAGTCCTGTCGTCAGACTGGGTGGTTCCTGACCATCTTTTATGGGATCTTTAGATTTTATTTGAATTTTGCAGTGCTTTCAAACTACTTTGGCATGAGCTGATGGTTTAAATAAAGTCTAGAATTAAAATCAGTCCAAAGAAAAGTTGAGTTTGCAAATTTTTGCCTACTCTCAGTCCAAGAGAGTAATATTTTAAGTCTTTTCTAGATTCTGTGGTTATTTCTGTTTTGTTCCTGCACTGATGTTTAATAACTATGTTTACAGAAAATAGTGTTCATCTATGTTGTTGTTGTTGTTATGTGCCGTCAAGTCAGTCCTGACTCATAGCGACCCCTCCTTGGGTTTCCGAGGCAGTATCACTACGGAAGTAGGATTGCCCAACCTTCCTTCCGAGGAGTGGCTGGTGGG